GCAGAAAGCAAGCTGACTGGAGCACTGCCTTGCGGGTCCCGTGAGTGTCTGATGAGCGGACATGGGTAGAGCAGGGCCTGTACACAGCGAGCGACACTCGCTAAACAAGTACACTGAGCACCTACACGTCCGAGGTGCTGGGAGGACGCTGCGTGTGAGGCCAGTCACTGACTTTAACCAAACTCCTTGTGTGTCAAGGGAGCTCTGGTGGCATTGTGCCTAAGGCACTTGACTGCTAACCAGAAGGCTGGCGGTTCAAACCCACCAGTCACTCCTCGGAAGGAAGATGGGGCAATCTACTTCTGTAGAGATACTGCCTCAGAAACCCAAGAAGGGGTCACTATGAGTTGAATCCCACCTGATGGCAGTGAGTTTGGTTTTTTGGGGTGAGATCACCAGGCCTTTCTTCCAAGGTGCTTCTGGTGGACTCGAACCACCAACTGTGGGGTTAGCAGCCAAGTGCATAGCCATTTGCACCACCCAGGGACACCCTCACTGGTTTTCGAGGCTTGCTTTCTAGGGACAGTGTGTGGGCGTGCTGGAGGGTGGAGGGTGGATGTGGCAGCCTCGGGTCCCGAGCCCCTGTTGACGCAGGCCCCTTCCTCTGACGACTGGCATGTGCATGACTGTGAAACAGCAGAAGGGGTGTGCTGCTGGCGGAGAGCTATGGAACAGAAAGGGGGCTGTGAGGCTGGCAGGGGGCGAACACCGAGGAGCAGGTGACCACACCAGAACTGGGCTCACAGAGCCACTGAGTGGACGAGTGCAGGCATTCCAGGGAGAGGGGACAGCCTGAGCCAGTGGGCCACTGCTGTCTTCCCAAAATGGCCACAATGCCTCTCGTGCAACATGGACTTCTTACAACGTGTCACTGACACTCCCCCATCAAGAGGTGGGGGTCTACGTCCCCTTTTGAACAATGGAAGGCCTGTGACTGCAGCAGAAGTGACAGAGAGTATCTCCAGAGACTAGGTCATTACAGGCCACATGATGCTCACAGTGGAACCCTGCCACCTTGCTGTGAGAAAGCCCAAGCAGCCCATGGAAAGGCCATGTGCAGAGAAACTGACAACCTGTCCACCTGCCAGCCACGTGGTGCACCATCCTGGACGTGGCTGACCCATCTCAGCTGTTGCTGCACGGAGCAGAGGCACGTGGCCCATCAGGCCTGGTCTAATTGCAGATTTGTGAGAAAACAGTGGTTTTGATAGTTTCAGGCTGCAGACTTGGAGGGTGGTTTGTAACACAGAGATAGTAACTGGGACAAAAGTCACGTGAACAAGGAAAAGTGAGGTGTCCAGCTGGGTTGGAGCAGAGGGTGGGGACAGCCGAGGGTCTGGCCTCTACCTCGGGGCAGTAGTGAGATTCGGGAGGCTGTTAGTTCACGCACTGGACTGACCAAAAAGTCGGTGGTCAAATGCACGCAGAGCTGCCTTGGCAGGAAGTCCCGATAACCTGCTTCCGACAACCTCACAGGTACTGCAGCCCCTACGGGGCAGGGCTGCTCTCAGAGCTGGGACCACAGGAGTCCGCGACAATGGTCAGGGTGGGCCCAGCTCAGAACAGCCCTGGTGAGCTGCCACAAGGGCCTGAAGCAGGGCATTCAATGTGGGACGAAGTGAGAGAAGAGATGGTGGAAGCAAAAAGCAGGGTTGATAAAACCAGAAAAAAACAAACTCACTGTCGCTGGGTCAATTCCGACTCACAGTGAACCCCAGTGGGTTTCCAAGGCTGTAAATCTTTACAAAAGCAGACTGCCCTGTCTTCCTTCTGCAGAACAGCTGGTGGGCTTGAACTACTGACCTGCTGGTTGGCAGCCAAATGCCTTACCCACTATATGACCTGGGAGCTCTGGTAGAATAGTGGCTAAGGCACTTGACTGCTAACCAGAAGGCTGGCCGTTCAAACCCACCAGCCACTCCTCGGAAGGAAGATGGGGCAATCTACTTCCGTAGTGAACTGCCTTGGAAACCCAAGGAGGGGTCGCTATGAGTCGGATCCGACTCAACGGCACATAACAACAACTATATGACCGAGCTCCTTAGATTGGCAAAAACGAAAAGAGAGTGTGAGTGACACAGGAGGAAGAGGAGGACAGTGAGGGGCGGGGACGGAGGGAGAAAGGGCCCGCCACTGAGCCTAGACAGGCAAAGAGTCTGGGGGGAACAGTGTCGGCCTCCAGGGCCTGGGCTGTTCATCTCCAGTCACTGACATGTGTTACTGACTCAATGTTTTGTTAAATCTCATTTTAAAGCAAGGCATTAACGTTCCTCACGTGAGGCCACGCATGACGGTGTGTGTTCATTCATACGCAGTGTGAGAACAGGCCGAACTAATCAAAGGTGATGGTGTAGGGAGAAGGGTGACCTCCAGGGGCAGATCTGGGCTGGGGGACAGCAGGCGGGAGCCTGCTCGGGAGACAGGCTGTTCTCTGACCAGGGGTGTAGTTCACCACACACACATACACAGCCATCAAGCTACATGGCCAGTTTGCTGCCGTCAGGCGCCATGGAGCCGGCTCAGACTCATAGCGCCCCCGTGTACAACAGAACGAGATACTGCCCAGCCGGCACCGTCATCCTCACAATCACTGCCATGCCTGAGGGCATCATTGCAGCCACTGGGTCAGGCCAGGTCTTCCCCTTTCACACTGACCCTCTATTTTACCAAGCATGGCATCCTTCTCCAGGGACGGGTCCCTCCTGACAACATCTCCAAAGTACAGGAAGTCCCACCACCCTCACTTCCACGGAGCATTCCGCTGTACTTCTCCCAGGACAGATGTATTCACTCTCCCGGCCATCCACGGCAGATTCGACATTCTTCGCCAACACCCTAATTCAAAGGCATCGATTCTTCTCAGGTCTTCCTCACTCACTGTTCAGCTCCACCTGCATACGAGGTGACTAGAAAACAGTAAGGGTCGGCTCAGGTGCACTGAACCTTCAAAGACCATCTCTACTTTGTAGTATTTTCAAGTTTTGCAGCAGATCTGCCCAATGCAGTATATCGGTGATGTCTTGCTGGTGCCTCCATGGGTGTGGATTGCAGATTCAAATAAAATGAAATCCTTGACCATTTCAATCTTTTCTCAAGTTTACTGTTTCTTTAAAAGTTTAGTGCATGATACTGTATAGCTGATGCCTCAGTAAAAACCAATGAAAAACACCACTACCGTCAAGTCATGGCAACCCCAGGCTTTACAGAGAGAGCTGCCCCATCTGGTTGTTGTGGCCGTAATCTTTATGGACACGGATCACCAGGCCTTTCTTCCGTGTCATTCCTGGGTGGGTTTGGATTTCCAGTTTTTAGGTTAGCAGTCCATACAAATTATCTGAACCACCTAGGGGCCTTGATACCTCAATAAATGATATTAAAAAAGAAAAAAAACAGGACAGTTCAGTGGCTTACCAGTTCAGATGCTGGAGCCAGGCTGCTAAAGACATCCCAGACACTGACTGGTTCTTGAGGATGCGAAAGGAAACAACTTGGAGTAAGACAAGGATGGGCTTAGGAGATGGGAACCCCCACTGAGGGAACACTCCGTGGCCCTGGATGACCTCCCACGCATCCCACGTCCTAGCTCCCAGGGGTTTCTGCGGACCAGAAGCAGGACTGGCTGCATAACCTATGGAGCCGGTGGAAAGGAACACAACCCTTGTCCAGTGCAGATTGCAAATTTCAAGACGGAGGATGGCCCAGCACGGCCCTCCTGAGCTCAGGCCCTTTCAGGTCGCACGCCCTCAAAGCTGGCCCTGCCTGTCCGGCCCACCCACGTCCCGGGGCACTCAGCATGGCAGTGAGGCCCATTTCTCCTACTGCAAGCTGTGGCCTGGGAGTGGACAGGCTAGACGTGCTGCGGAGCTCTGGACGCGTCTCTCGGCCAGTGATGGATGGGAGGTGGAGGACGAAGAGCCTGCCTCCTCACGCCTGGGGGACGAGGGCAACGGTGAAGAGTCCCACACTGCCCAGCCCCGCGGGACCTGAGCCTAGGTGCCCACAGGGGTAACTGGCTCATCAGCCCCCGTGAGGAGGGCTCCTTCCCTCCCCTGCCTGGCTCCCTGCTTTCCTCCTAGAGCTTCCAAGAGATGCCCAAGCAAACTCTCTGCACTCAATCCCTGCCTCAGGCTCTGTTGCAAGACAAGAAAAACCTAACTCACAACAAGCCACACAGCCCTGACAGGAGCCACCTAAGATGAACATAAGACGAGCCGAGACCAGAGTGGTCTACAGACGATGGGGACATCAACAATGTCATGTCATTTACAAACAACAAGGCCTCCCGTCCACAGATGGATTATCGCCTCCATTTTACAGAAAACGAAGGCCCTGGGGGAGGAGGGACCCAAGCTGGGAAGGGGTGAGGCTGGGACCCCCCAGGCCCACCTGACCTCAGACCACGCTGAGGCCTGCATCAGTCTACAGACCCTCCGCCATGCAAGGCCCATCAAGCTGAGCTGGTTTCTCTGTTTCAAGCAATCGATTGTCTTAAACCCACCCTTAGGAACAGGACTCGTGTTCATTACAGTGGATCTTTATTTATCTACAAAAAGAAATTAGAAACCCCTCGGACTGTTTCCATAGCTTGTAAAACAACTTGTAAAAAACCGAGCTGCTCCTCTCGCGAGAAGTTCCACAGTGTTGATGCCATGAGAGTGTGTGCTCCCAGAACACTGCCTCCGCCGGCCACGCCAGGGCCCTGAGGGCAGGGCCTCCCCTCGTCCTCACAGCAGGGTCAGCAGGAACGGAGGCACGAGAGATGTCCGTGCAGCGGGGCCTTGGGAGCAGGTTCTGGAAACGGGAAGGACAGATTCCCCGCACGTCTCGCCACCCCTCGCGTGCGGCTCTCCCCGGCCCAGAATTACTGTTTCCCCATCCTCTGCACGTGCTTATGTGTGTACACAGCACAGCTGTCCCAGGCAGCTGTGTCCCCCCAGGACATCTGGAGTGGGCGTGACTAGCACAGGAGCACGTGTGTCCAGATCACCATCACCCCGTCCTCAAGCTTCCGGGTCCATTTCTGCATCATCTGGGCACGACCCCGTCTCATCCAGCCAGACTAGAAAAAAGAGGAGTGATATCAGATCGACCCCCCACATCCAGGCCCCTTTCTCTGGGGACTTCGGGGCTAGTGCCTTTGGCCCCTTCACCCTGTACCACTGCCCCAAGCTCCTCCACGTCTGGGCAGGGGTCTCTGGATGCTAGGGGGGTCTCAAGGGAATGTTCCAGGACCCTCTGTCCACTCTCAGTGCTTGGTTCCTCGTGGTCTCGGGCTGAGGTCCCTGAGTCACTCAGCCTTGGCTCGGCCTTCAGTGCCCTAGGCTAGGCCTGGCTGGGAGCTCAGCTTCCACAATGGTGGTTCTCCACATGGGGGGTTGAGGCCCAGATGGAGGAGCCCCCCAACCGGGTCTGCTGCTCTTCCCTCGTGCCCTCAGTTTCATCGTTAAGAATTCAACAACCCGGCCACTGTGTGGGGGGCATCACACTAGGTCCCAAGCTTCCTCATCAACATCCTCCGAATGGCTTCAGGGCACATCTCCAGCTCACAGACGGGGAAACTGAGGCTCAGGGAGGTGTGGCCTTTGCTTAGTTGCACAGCTGGGAGAGGTGGGATCTGAATCCAGGCCTCTCTGACTCCAAAGTCTGTGCCCTCTGTCCTACTTGGAACCGGGGAAATGGAGCAGTGGGGTCGGACCTCTGCTGTCTGACGGAACAGACGGGAGCAAGTTAAGCTGAAAGGAGCCTCTCCCAGGGTCCAAGCCTCCAGAGAGCACGGGGCCTCGAAACCACATCAAAAAGCCAGGAGTCTCACTATGGCTCCCCTGGTCAGGAAAGCCAGCTCTGACCCATTTTACAAAGACACTGAGGTCTGGAGAGGGCAGGGAGTTCACGGCAGAGCTGAGGACCTGCACTCTCTGGTCAGACACGGGTGGGTGGTGCAAAGAGCACTGGACCAGGAGCCCGGCTCTTCTCTCTTGCTGGGTGTCCCTGGGTCACTGTCCCTCTCTGGACCTAGTCTGTAACAGAAAGGTCAGGACGTGCTCACAGCTCACAGGGTTGGAACGAGATAAGGTCATTCATGAGGAGTGTTTACTCGGTGGCTGGCACTTTCAGGTCACATGGGAAGGTGAACACCGCAGCCTCACTGAGCAGGACCCCAGCCTACGGAGGGTCCAATGGTGTTCTCCAGGGCTCTCCAATCCAGTGAGCAGGATGGCACTCAAATTCAAGGCCTCTAGAAAACTGGGTAGCCCACCAACTCTACCCTGCATTGTCATCACTGAGTCCCCAGGCTGACTTGTGTCTGAGTGCCCCCTGGCTGATCAATGCTAACTGCTGGGCAGGTGTCCAGCCCTGGGGTCTGCACTGGGAGCCCAGGCCTGGGGTACCATTCCAGCTGTGGCACCTGTCAGCTGTACAGCTCTGAACCTCAGTTTACCAATCTATAAAATGGTGAGGAGAGTTAGTGTGCAGACTGAATGAGAAAACATATTCACTGTGTGCAGACGGAATGAGAAAACGCCATTCACTGCCCCTGGCCTGGCACAGCCTATTACAGCATTACTGCTAGTGCTGTTCAGCACCCAGCCCGGGCCAGGCTCCATAAACCTTTGTTCAAGTCATTGAATAAATAAACAACTTGTCCCACTGGCTCCAACGCTATCAACAGAGGGGCAGATGGGGACACCAGCTTGGGCCTCTCCCTCCTCCTGGAACAATTCCATCTCCTCTCCCCTGCCTGCAAGGGGCTGCATCCGGAAGGCCCCGGGGCCCAGCCCCAGCCAGGGCGTGGGCTGTGCTTCCAAGCCTGTCCGGTCCAGCCGGAACCACTACAGCCAACAAGATGGAGCACTGGCCCAACGGGTTGGCAGGCGGAGGCGCATCCATCAATTACCTTGGCTGGCGGGGGACGTGGTATGGCAGGCCGGCCCAGCCCCATCCATCACAGCTCCTGGCCACCGGCAGGGGCTGTCTAGCTAATTATTTAACATGCCACATCTTGCTGAGGCTTGTGGGGCCCACGGCGGAGAGGACACAGAGCCAAGTGTGACTCTTTCCTAAACCTAGGGATGGCAAGGGGGTGTCCCCCTGAGTGGGGACGACAGGGGAGGGGGTACCCGTGAGCTGTCTCCAGCCAGGTCCCCAGGTCGGACCCAGAGTCTCTCTATATGCAGCTCGGTGGAGGTGCTGGGTGGTCTCACCTGTCTGCCGGGAGTCTCTCGGCAGCGTCACGCCCGTGGGGGTCGGGGGGGTGATGATGATGTTGGGTACATCCAGGTGCTTGTTGTTCAGGACGGGGGCCTCATCATGGCTGCTGCTGCTGCTGCTGACACACATTTTAAAGCCTGAGCAGCAGGTGTGAGAAACACACACACACATGTACACACATGAGAGAGACAAGCATGAGTGGCCGCTGGCTGCTGGCCTCCCTCCCTCCCTGCACCAGCACTCGAGTCCTGGAAACTCCCAGGAGAGGGGAGGGCTGCTGCCCCCACTTCACAGACGGGGAAACCGGCTTGGAGAAGTTCGATGACCGCCCAAGCTTCCACACTTCGGTGAGGGCAGGGAGTGGCATCTGTTTTTCTCACTAATGTTAACTTTAGCGCTACAGCAGCGTCTGGCACACAGTAAACCAAACCAGACCCACTGCTGTAGAGTCAGTTCTGACTCATGCAGACCCTATGCGTTACAGAGCAGAACTGTCCCATAGGTTTTCTTGGTTGTCATCTTTACAGAAGCAGACTGCCAGGCCTTCCTTCTGAGGCACCACACTGGGTAGGTTTGAACTGTCAACCGTTAGGTTAGCAGCCAACTACAAACCATTTGTATCTTCCAGGGACCTACTGGCACACAGGCGCTCAGAAAACGACTGACTGAATGAAAGCAACAGAGTGGATTTGAACCCAGGTCTTTTGGACTCTATGTCATGCATGAAGTTACAACTCCAACAGACTATTTTCTAAAAGAGTATGTGTGAGATTGGTATGACTTCTTCCTTAAACATTTGATTGAATTCAACATGACACTGTCTGGGCCTGGAATTTTCTTTGTACAGAGGCTTTTGATTACAAATGTGGTTTCTTTCACAGATACAGGGCTACTGAGGTTTTCTATTTCATCTTTTGTCAGTTTTGGTAAGAAGTGTTTTTCAAGGACTTTGTCACTTTCTTCTAAGTTGCTCAACTCATTAGCCTACTTCTCCCTAAATTAAATGCAGGTAATCAGGCTAAGCCCAGTTATGGCTCTCCTCCTGACATAAAAACCACTCACCATCCACCCCATTAAACACCCTCCACTCTTCCCATCTGTGATGGTTAAGGTTATGTGTCAACTTGGCTACGCCCTTATTCTTGGTGGTTTGCCAAATTATTATGTAATCATCCTCCATTTTGTTACGTGCCAATCAGTTGAAAGGGGCATTTCCTTGGCGTTGTAGTCTGCACCCAACATAAACAGATGTTCTGGCAAAGCTTGACCTCTCAATTTTCACTTAAATCACAATTTTTTTTTTTTTTTAAAAAAAGGTCAAGCTCTCTCAACGCTACATCTGACTCATCATCACCTGACTGCTGGTTCTTGGAATGTAAGCCAGCAGCCCCATAAACCAAAAGCCTGCCATCTGACCTGCTGATTTTGAGTTTTCCAGCCACTGCAACCATGAGAACCAGAAGTAATATCCAGCCTGACACCTGAGCCACAGATTTGGGACTTACCAGCCTCCACAACTGTGTAAGCCATTTCCTTGAAATAAATCTCTCTCTATATGTGTATATGTGTATATATATATATATATATATATATATATATATATATATACTTGCTTCACTGGTTTCACTCCTCTAGGGAACCTTGCCTGAGGCAAGGAAGTTTCCTGAATTGGTTCTTAATCCGGCTGGTCTTAAGGCACCGATGACTCCGCCTCCAGTAGCAAAGAGGACACTGCTAACCCACGGCGTGAGGTGGCAACAGAACCACACAAAATACCACGGGGCCATCTACTTCCATAGTGATACTGCCTCGGAAACCCAAGGAGGGGTCGCTATGAGTCGGATCCGACTCGATGGCAGTGAGTTTGGTGTTTCTGGTTTGGATCAAGTACTTGTGAGAGCCCAGGCTCTGAGTGACTGCACAGTTGGTACTTTTCTGTAGTTCTGTCAGAGTAAGAAGCATCAGGGAGCTGGTTTCTAGACAAAGCAGTGAAAGGGACGAGCTCAAAGCTTCCGAGGCACCGCTCAGCACCACATACAAGACCTGAAAGCTGCCACTTGTGCCCTGAAAGAAAGGCCTATTTCTTGAAGTAACAGAGCTGACACTGCTGACGACAAACCCCGAGTCTTATCGTGAGAGTGGCCAAATTACGACGTCAAGTGAATTCCCAACCTCAAATGGGGTCTAGGGTTAAAGTGAGGGCTCTGACTGGGAAGAAATGGGATCCTGAAACTTGGGATGGGGCTGCATGGGAAGATAATCAGGAAGCTGGGGACACTGGCCGCTGAATTCCATGGAGTCCCTCCCACCGGCAGAACCAGTCCTCGAACCGTCACCTGAAGAGATCAGTCCAGTGAGTCAGCTAAGTCACCCTCCCCAGTGACACTCCCACCCCTTCACCCTCATCTGATGAGATTAACCCAGGTGTGTCCCCAGAGTCTTTATCTGAGATACCTCCTGGGGCAGTGCCTGGAACATCGCCCGAGGCAGGTGCCGTACAAGACATTGCAGAACGTCCCCGGGACCCACATCCGCCACTCATTCTTGCTTCTAGACCTATTAACTAGACTTACGTCCCAGGGAGCCCCAAGAAGTGAAGTTCAAAGTGTGACCCAGGAAGAAGTGCACTATACTCCAAAAGAGCTGCCTGACTGCTCTAATATGTACTAACAGAAACCTGGGGAACGTGTGTGGCAACGGCTATTCAGGGTGTGGGATAATGCTGCAAGGAACATAAAGTTGGATCAGTCTGAGTTTATGGATAGGGCCCTACTAAACACAGATTATAGGATCCATGGTGGCGCAGTGATTAAGTGCTCAGTTGCATACTGAAAGGTCAGCAGTTCAAACCCACCACCAGCCACTCTGCTGGAGAAAGATGTAGCAGTCTGCTCTCATAAAGATTTACAGGCTTGGAAACCCTATGGGGCAGTCCCACTCTGTCCCACAGGGTCAACTTGACAGATTTGGAGGCACACATTCTTCATTCAGTTTTCAGCTCAAGAGGCTAGAGAAGGATCTAATAATTTATTTGATTGGTTCACTGAAGCAAGGATTAAGCAGTGGCCTACACTAAATCAAGCTGAAATGCCAGACCTGCCTTGGTGTACTATAGAGGAAGGTATGCAAAGGATTAGGGGCACTGGCATGTTACAGTGGATTTATCAGGTTGGACGTACAGACTCACTCATGCGGTACCCATAGGACATGTCTTTTACCACCATACTCACTCCCATCAAGTGTCGAATCCAACTCATAGCGACTCCTCCTTGGGTTTCTGAGGCATTATCTCTATGGAAGTAGATTGCCCAGTCTTCATTCCAAGGAGTGGCTGGTGGGCTTGAACTGCCAGCTTTCTGGTTAGCAGTCAAATGCTTTAGGCACTACGCCACCAGAGCTCGTGAAGGGAGAGCCCCAGCATCCTTGAAGACTGCTCTGATTGCTATTTTCTATAAGTCAGATTTAACAGTGTCAACTGCCCTAAATGAATTAAGATACCTAACTACAATGAGATTCTTTGGACCTCATGGTGGCAGGGATCAACTGGCAGCTCTTAATCAACAAAGACAAGGTAGTAGTGGTTACTGTGATGGACAGCAGAGGCAAAGCAGTAATGAGAATGGTCTGACTCCTATGGACTTACGGTGTTGGCTACCAAATCATGGTGTCCCTAGGAGTGAAACAGATGGGAAATCTACTAAATATTTACTTGATCTGTACCAGTGGAAGAATTCTAGGTCAAGTAAACAGCAATCTAACTTGAAACGCCAGAATAGAGTCACGGCCCCTCAATCCATTCCCAAACCTGAGCCAGTTTACAGACCCACAACCTCCTGAATGAAGGGGAGGCCAGGTTCCTTCAGAAGGAACCCCACCACACTGCCAAAAATTTATACTGTTAACCTTTCTCCCAGCCTTCCCCAAAGGGATTTACGGCCTTTTACGAATGACTGTTTATTGGGAAAAGGAAATAATCAGACTCTTTGGGGATTACTGGACACTGGGTCTGCACTAATTCCAGGAGACCCAAGATATTACTGTGACCCACAAGTCAGAGTAGGGGTGTATGGAGGTCAGCTTATTAATGGAATCTTAACTCAAGTCCACCTCACTATTGAGCCCAGTGGGTCTCCAAACTCACCCTGTAGTGATTCCTCCAGGTCCAGGATGCATATATGGAACACACATACTCAGCAACTGGCAGAACCCCCATATTGGATCCCTAACATGTGGAGTGAGGGCTACTATGGTAGAAAAAGCCAAGTGGAATCCATTAGAACTGCCCTTACCTAGGAAAACAGTAAACCAAAAGCAATGATCACTTTCCTGGAGGGACTGCAGAGATCACCACCATCTTCAAGGATTGAAAGATACACAGGTGGTGATTCCATCCCCATTCAACTAGCCTATGTGGCCTGTGTCAAAAACAGATGGGTCTTGGAGAATAATTAACATAACTACTTTTGGAGTAGGAGCTCTGGTAGTATAGTGGCTAAAGCACTTGACTGCTAACCAGAAGGCTGGCGGTTCAAACCCACCAGCCACTCCTCGGAAGGACGGTTGGGCAATCCTACTTCGGTAGTGATACTGCCTCGGAAACCCAAGCAGGGGTCGCTATGAGTCGGGGCTGACTCGATGGCACATAAAAACAACAACTACTACTACTTTTGGAGTGGATTAACATAAACTTAAGGTAACTCCAATTGCAGCTGCTGTTCCAGATGTGGTTTCATTGCCTGAAAAAATGAATACATATGGTACCTGGTACACAGCTACTGAGCTGGCCAATGCCTTCTTCTCTAGTCCAGTTTTGAAGGATCACCAGAAGCAGTTTGCCTTCAGCTGGTAAGGCCAGCCATACACTTTAACTGTCCTACATCAGGGCTATATCAACTCTGCAGCCCTATATCATAATTTAGTACACAGGGAACTTGGTAACCTTTCTCTTCCACAAGACATCACGTTGGTCCCTTACACTGATGACATCATGCTGACTGGACTTTTTAATGAAGAAGTATCAATATCAATGACTATAGACTTATTGGTACATGTGGGTGCTCACTCACACTCACTCACTGACACTGAGTCGATTCTGACTCACAGTGAACCCACTGGGTTTCCAAGGCTATAAATCTTT